CGGCTCTTCTGTAAGACAGAATATCGAGCCTTAATCAAAAATTATCACCCGTAGTTGCATGTTGGAGTAAGTACAAAAGACCCAATAACTGACTATTGGGTAGCCAAGCGGTTAAGGCATCGGCCTACTGCTCCGAAGGACCGAAGAACAAGTGTAGAAGGTTTGAAAAACCCCAGTAATTTTCAGGAGTGGTCCATCGTGAATATGTAGGGCCTCATCATCTAGCTACCCATTATGAATCTGGCCAAACCAAAGATAGATCTGATTAAAAAGTCAGCTGACTTAATGGTTACTTTATCTTTTTATGGCCCGAGAAGAGTACGTTAATGGTAGATAATTGAAGTAACTCATTCCTTTGACATTCTGAGAAATGAGAATTTCAATTGAGACAGCTACCTTACAGAGTCAACGGAAATGAAATTCATATATATTAAATACGACTGAATATAAATTTATATATTTTTTATTTCATGATTATTATTTATAAAATAATATTCAACACAAAGCAACTTTTATTGATTTATATATTAGTTAAACAACAATTTTAACCTACAGTTTGTTATTGTTAACATGAGAAGTGGACAGACTACCAAACAAATTCGATTAATGTCGAATCAATAAGATATTTCGCAAAATACTGCTTGCTTAAAACTTTCAATAAGGCTTATTTTTATCATGTTATCTACTTCATTTTTCTGTAAACAGACTGACACATACTCATAACACACTCACATATCTTATATCTGTACTATCAGTTGAATATTTATAAAGTTATCTATATGATAAAGCGTAATCTTTTTTTTTGTGATAATTATATCAGTAAAAAACAGATTTTGCTTCATTAGAAGAAAAATAAGCACAATTGTATATTTATATTTAAGTTATTTTTTATAAATTGCATCTTATGAATAAGAGTCACTAAAAACAAAATGAAAAAAAAACCTTAATTCCAGAAAATTACTTAAAAACAGACATTTTTCTACTTATTTCCATCAGGCAACATACTCAAAAGTCCAAAATCAATCCTTTTTTTTCAAGTGTTTTGCCTGGTGATGACCTGAAATCGGTAAAAACACCTGTTTTTGAATAGTTTTGGTGGAATTAAGAAAGTTTATTTTTGTTTTATTTGTTCTTTTAACTGCTCTCCAGTTGAAAATCATACAATAGTCACACTAGACGGAGCTTATAAAATTCACTTTCATTATTACTTTCCCAGCTGTTAAATATAACAGAGGGAAAGTATGGAGATTGATTTTTAAAAGATTGGGGGAGCCATTTTTTGACCAATTTATATTAATAATTACTTTAGATCCTTACATACTTTAAACATTTCAAACAACAGATTATTGCCAGTTGGATAATTGTTGTTGCAGTTAACATGTTTTGTGATAAAATGTGAATCACTTGTTTTTTAGTGTTCATGAATCATGAAAACAAAGAAATGACGAAGACAAGCTCAGTGAATATTGGAGATTTTGGCTCCAGTCGTAAAGAATACTGGTTGCACAATGTTGGTAGTGTATCACCTAGCCATGTTGTGACAGAGGAATGTTTTTTTCAAATGTCACAATTGAGGATGTCCAAGAATCGCTGCACACGCTACCTTACTCGGAGAGAAATACAAATGAAATGAGCAATTACTATTATTGTGACATCGTCACAATGCCAAGCTGCAATTTTTAATCATTTTTTAAATTTATTTAATTTAAAATATATGCTTTCCACCTCAAATTAGTAGTGGCTTGTCCCCATACATCATACTTTCCCTTTAACAATAGATTCATCTATCTAACACCTTTCCGGGAAAAATTTTTGGATTGAAATAGCATGACTTCCAGTTTGCATTGGAAGTTCTTATATAGTTAACTGGGGTTCATGCCCTCAAGGTTTCCATACTTGATCTCATCTTTCATCTATCTAACTCCTTTCTCGAGATTGAGGAGAGACGGATAGATGGACTGTCGACAGTGGAATTTGTAGGTCTACAATTTTTTCAGATTGCAGCCCAATATGAATTATTGCCTTTCAACATGACTTGTTTCAGAACAATTCTCAATGACAGACTATTAATAAGAAAATCTACATTCAAAACTGAGACCAATAGAAACAAGATCAGCACTTATAGAGGCTGGTTATGAGATTTCACAGATGGCATAACAGATTTCTCCAGAAAATCCATAAAAACTAGTAACAGAACAATCAATTAAACGAGACAGGGAAATTAAAAATGTAATAAAAATTGGAGACACATTATTTTGCTTTTGAGATACAGTGGGGTCAAAATGACAATGTCCAAAGTAGTTAGCATGAGCATGCACAATTAATTTTATTCTTTTTATGCCAGTAGTGGCAAGTGATCATCATAGCTAGCTCCCGAAACATTATTATTGCCATACAAGCACGTTGACTCAATTCTTAGTTCATGTTCAGAGAGAAAGCAAACTACACCTAGTTTATATTTCAAGGCTATTGTTAGATAGTAGCCATTACATAAGTTTATTTCAGTTTTATTGATTAGGTTATCCGTTAATCAGTGCCAAGCAAAGTGTATAATTTGCAAAATTAGATCATCCAGAAAGATTAAATGTGATTAGCATTTTGCAAAGCTGATAAAATAGTGAAGTAAATGTTCAACTTTCACTCAATCAGAATTATGCCTATTAAACATGGATGCAAAATAAATATAATAAGCCATGCTTGTTTATTATTAAACATAATAATGACTTCCTTAAAAGTATTTGTTAATCTGCAAAATTGAAATGATCATAACTCTAAGGGTACAGTTAAAACTCATAAGATCGTTGTACTTTGCCTTCTGATTTTCCCTGTTATTTGTATATTCTGAGATTTTTGTAATTTTAGGTAGTTTTGAACCCATCCACTTCAATTATTGTGATTTGTGACCCTACTGTACATGTTTTGACAAACTATTCTTAGTCATAGATGAGGTTTATTGATGTAGTTGCTAATATTTTGTATGATAGATGATATACTAAATAATGTAAATAGTCAACAAGTTTGTTATTAATACAGACTTTTTGGTTTTTGACCTTTGAATGCATTACATATTTATATTTCTTTGCTATATTATTAGAGAGAATGTAGCTTTTTGTAGGAAATCTTTATTTTCATCTATTAGGACTTAGTTGTTGGCTTAACGTACCTATTTTTCATCATATTATTTACATAAACGCCAGTATTGGATATTTATCTTCATTTTCTGATATAGTTTTTGCATATTTCAAAAAAGAATGGTAATAGACACAGCCTTAAAGTCAAATTTATTATTTTGGATTTAGTTGTCTGTGAATTCATCTTAATTTTGAAACTGTTATTTTATAAATATTAGAAATAGCTCAAATTGGTGAATGTCTGTCTTCATTTCTTCAAATTTCTAATACTTTTTGTCTATACTGTATATTTTGTTGAATGTGTTCTTATGATCTACATTCTTACTAAGCTATAATATGCTTTCTTACTACAAATAATTAGTAGTTTTCTAACAGTCATGGATTGTTATTGAACAACCTGTTATTTCAAAAATAATAATAATAAAAAGAAAAACAGCCAAAGTACAAAGTACATCACATGTGCATTACTGTATAAGTAACAACTGGAAAACAGCCGTAGAAGACTTGGTAACAGATTCATCTAGGCTTCCACCCTGCCAACTTTGAGAAACCTGGGTGCATTCCAGATTGGAAATACAGTAGTTTTTATATGCAATTTGTCCCATCCCTCATCACCCAGTCACACCCGTTGGGGTCTGGCCGAACAATGACAAGTGCATTAAAGAATGACCCCATCGTCGTTCAGCCAAACAGGCCCCCTTGACAAGACAAAGTCAAAAATAAAAAAGTTAAACTACGGCATAGGTAATCATCATTAGTTTTGAAGCCATCAAACAGTTAGTTTTGTCTGTAATTTTTAAGTTGTCGATATTTTATATTTTTAAATAACAGTAACAACTTGTTACTGTTAGTTACAAATAACTACTTAGTCATCACTAGTTTCTAAGTTAAATTCTCTCTCTTTTTTTTTTATCACAAGTTTTAGTAAAAAGAAGGTGTCATTGTATGGTCATTCTTTCTGGAACACAGTTTGCTCCTTTCCTAATATATTTTTATAGAGCTGGCTTAAAATTGACCCAAGAAGGTTTTGCAGTCTTTATTGTGGAGACTGATTCCTCTGTAATCATTGCAATCATTAATACAGTTATTAAAGATTGGGACTAATAGAGCAAGTTGCTACTGTTCCAATGTAGTTTAAATTCACGAATTCCTATGGAGATTTTAAGACTGTCACCCACGTATTCTATATGCCAAATATGTGCAAGTCTGGCATCAATATATCAAATCCAGAGGCCCTCCCTTTGTCGTCGGGTTGCCCTTTTCTTCATCCTCAAAGATGCTTTAAAGTTTCGTTTTATTTTTAAACTAGTTACTCATTTTTATCACAGATAAATTTTTTACTGATGACAAATTAAAATGAAAATATTTTTGCATATTCTAAAGCCATGTCTTCTTTTATCCGTTTTTACTGTCACAACTAGGTGCATAGACAACGCTAGGCATTTCTGACATCAATCTTTATTCGGGAATATCTTGTCGGCCGAGACGATTTTCGGGCATAAGCCCCTCTTCTGTCGGCATTTCTTGTAAGGAGGTGTTAATTGTTATATCTTGTTTAAAATTACTTATTTACAGTTAAAATTTCTTGGCTTTTAGGTGCTATTAAGAGTAAAGTATGTATGTATGATGCCCTTTTTATAGTCTGCAGGCACCACTGATCAAAATCAATGTTACACTATCCGGAACCTGTGACCGGTGCTCTACGCGTATATATTGTATATCGCTTGACAAACGTTTCCGAGCGATATACAATATATACGCGTAGAGCACCGGTCACAGGTTCCGGATAGTGTAATGTTGATTTCACCCCGGTGCTGAAAGTAGAACAGTTCCTATTGATCAAAATCATGTAGTATATATAAAAATTACCTGCAAATTTTAATTCTTCTAATTTCTGAAGGCAAGAAATGGGGCAGTAAGCTACAGCATACACCATTGGACCTAAAATTTATCAAACAATATGATTTTTAGACAGTGATTTAAGAAATGGTAAAGCTGTTGTAGTTCTGAATGAGAGGTTTGGACCTTCCCATAAAATTTTAGATCCCTGAACGTTTCTCGTGTCGCGGGCCCCTAAAACCCCCCACATGACGATGGACCACGTGGACCCTCGCATAGTTCCGCGAACTTCCTGGGTTCCGCGAATCACCGGTTGAGAAACGTGGCTCTATACCACCTCATTCAGCAAATTATATACTTAAATACACTCACCAAGTACAGGACCCCGTCCGGCTTCGTCGATACCCAAAACACATTTTTCCTTTTTAGTAATTTTCGGAACTTTTGATATAATTAACTTATTACTACTATTATCACTTTGAAAACTCGATAAGTCCATAATTTTTACCGCCAACAACTATGTCGGCGGAGTGATTTCTTCTACCATTCAAAATTTCAAATTTTTACGGGGCGACGACGAAACGTCATCATTCAACATAAAATTTTAGTTGTAAATTTGTTAATTATATAAAAATCTTATCGAAATTTACATTATTTAAATAATTCGCGTTAAAATTAAGACTTATTTAATAGAAAATACACTTCTTAATTCGCTTAACTTACGTACTATTTCTCAATACGGATGATTACCATCGGCGAGTTGTTTTCTAAACTTCTCCCGTGACGTATTTACGTGACGTCCATTTTCATTGGTTGATATTTTAATGTCGTAAACAAATTTGAAAATAAATAATCAATTTCGTGGCTGCGTGTGTGTGTGTGTGATATATTTGGTGTATTTAAGTTAAAACTTTTATAATTTTATACGAAAAATTCAGCAATATTTAATAAATTTTTTGATGAAATATTTTTATAATTTAAAACATTTTGTAATTATTTACACATTAATTGCACACATAAGTGCATTTAACATAGCATAATGTTTTTACGATGTAAAAGCTGCTGTAAATGGATAATGAAAGGATTTCATTCTCATAAAACCAAATAGAATACTTGAAAATCTGGTTTAATTTTAGAATTAAATCTAACAAGTTTATATAAATTATGTATTTTTTTTTTCTGTTAAATATTCTAAAATATATATTTTATATGTATTTAACTTTTTTTTACACGTTTAAATTTATATGCAGCTATCGTTAACCCGTTATCATTAATTTAAAAATTGATAAGAGGCTTTAAATTGTTTAAAACCATATTTTTATCTTTAAAAATGCTAAAAAAAGACTCTTGTGTTGGTATAGGTTTTTATAGAATTCATGCACTGGTCAAGCCATTTTAAGTGTATTGATATATTGAAGAGAGGCACGAAATGCAGCGCGTGTTGTTCTTAACACTATAAACAACAGCTCGAAAGAAATGCCTGTCTAGAGATAATTTAAAATGGCCCGAAGGAAAATTATCAAATCGAAATATTTATACCAAGGCTTTCTTAGTACCACTTTACTTTATAGGTTGAAGATAATCAGATACGTGTACCGTACATATCCGGTACAAAATACAGAAAATCACCCATCCACGAAACAAACAGTGACTCCCACGCATTAATTCTTATTAGTCATACTAATTACACGAAGGAAGAGAATTTTCAATGACCTAATTATCAAAATCTAACTCGTCATTTATATTATTTTTTATTTTTCTTCGCATCATAGAACTCACGTAACGCGTAATTATAATAAATAAACAACTCGTTAAGTATTTTTCTATTTACGAAGCGTCGTTTCCCTTATAAAAGTATTAAAGAAAATTTCTCAACTTTTTTTAAAAGAATAATCTCTTTTAATAAGGTAAATGCCAGATACGTGAGGCAATAACCGTGACGTCATTACGTTTGAAATCTGTTCAAAAAATCTTACAGACAATAAGCCTTCGTTTCAAGGTCGCTTTTATTTATCTAAATAATTTAAGAGTGTATTGTAAAAGATTAGCTTAAGTAACTAAACGATAAGTCCCGTGATAGTGAGTAATAACCGGTAATCTGTACGTTATAGTAACAATTTTAGTAAAAATAACCATTACAATCCTCTCCGGAACGATAATAAAAGAAGGGTCTCAGCCGTGACGCCATTTGCCTGGTAAAGGAAGATAATGGACGATGCCGGGTTTAGAACAATATTAAAATTTATGTAAACTGTAACTTTTATTGGTATTTCTATATCGGGATAATGCGTTTTATATTAGAAAGTTTACATTTATATAAATAACGAATCCGTAAAAGGAAAAGTATTGAATCATTCTTACGCGATAAATGATGTAACGCAACGCATCCGCATGGTAACAAATAGTTTCCTGTTATTTATCCGAGAAAAAAAATCTGGATTAAAGTTAAACGTTATACATTAATTTTTCCTAAAATTTAATTTTGCCGAGAGAAAAATGAAGGTGTAAACATCTGTACGACACGTCTACCGCGATACGATCGATTTATATATTTTTTCCGAATTCTTCCTAACTTTATTCCTCTTTGTTTGATCATTGCAAAGTATTTTTAAATATCTAATATTTCGAGAAATAAAAAAAAGTATGCAATCTCGGTAGATAATTGCTTAAGTATTTCGTTTAAATTCGCAATCGATCAATCGTCTCTTCACATGGATATCGCATGACGTCATAAGAATGTTATCTCCAGACATCATTACAAAGTGTCATCATTAATTATACTTTAATCTTTATTAATAACAATAATTTCACAATTATAACTAATTAAATGGATAAATTAAAATTAAAAAAATTCAATAATTAAATTTACGTAATGAATTCGGTTGATAATTAAACCTTTCTTCTTTCGGTGCTAGTCTCGCAGTTATCATTTACTCTTAAAGAAGCAGGGGTCGCTGTCTTCTTTTTTATATTTTACTTTAAACAAATTTTCCATTTTATACAACAAAATGTATTTAACTTTTTTTTTGTATCGTTTAATAATAATTCGTACAAAGCGAGAACGAGATGGAAGACGTAGACGACGCCATTTAACTATTATCTGCTGACGTAATTGCGTGTGCGGAATCACTTCCGCGAATATGTCGTTAGCTGACGTCACAGGACACAGAGATAGTCGATGGTTTCGCCATCTGGCGTCGACCTGAAACAACCGATAGATAGAGAAGGTAAATTACGAGATGCAGACCGAACAGAAGTACTGGATTGTGTTATCTCGTTTTTAGTCTTCTATCATATTTGAATTTGTTAACTATTAACAGTTTTAAAGAATGGAATCTATAAGAAAGTGGTTCTGTCGCCCAAAGGTGAGTTATTTAGTTGTGTATGTGGCAGGAAAATATCCTTGAAAAGTCTAGTAGTGTATGTAGCCTTTAATATAGTAGCATCCACGCTCTCAGAATATATGGCGGATTATACGATTCTAAGACATAATTTAAAGCCTCTACACACGTAATTTTGTATAATTATAAATTCTGTAGATCGAAACACGTTATTGCACCATTTTAATCGAACAAATGACCCAAAAATCCGTTTTGATTACTAAAATTTGCGCCCTGTTTTGACGTTAAAATTGCGTTTTTCTATCAATATGTAGCGAAATTATGAAACGAAAGCGGAAAAAATATNATAGAAACAAACAGCAGCCAAACGTTAGAAAATGCTGTTAGAAAACCTGTATAGAAATCCCATTTCCTTGGTCATTGCCATCGTGGAAGAGACGAAGTGGAACAAACCAGCAATGCGCCCTTTTTCCTATACAAAATAATAAAAAAAAGGGAGGAAACGCCTCGAAAAACGGGAATATCGACAATACGGAAAGTTCCCCCGTTTCTGACGTCATGATAGGGGAAAGGGGAACCGTCTCTCCCCAAATATATACGACATGACGTCAGGAGTCAATGCCACGATCGCTTCAGCACGAGCCCGAACGTCATTTCGATCACGTGAACGGAATATTTAATTGCGCATTAATTTTTCGGGACGTTTTTCGAAGGTATTATTCTTTTATGTTAAGTTGGGAATGGCGTGTTTGTTAGGCATTTTGTCACGAGGAAGGATGTCTATACAATTTTTGTTTTGTTTCTCGTTCTACATCACTATCTTCATTGATGTGTGAACTATTAAAAAAATGAGATCAGTAACTTTATATTTATATATATACTTTCGCGTGATTGTTTAGTTGCAGGATTAAGCTGTGAATGAACCTTTTTTTGATAATAAAAATCGGTATAGAATCGAACGGAAGGATGTAATTGAGGATGTTGTTGACATGCTTGGATAAACTTTTGTATTACCCAACAATTCTTTCCATATTTTTGTTATTAGAAATTAAGTTCAACACAAACACTTTTAAATGGAACGTTGAAGACGAATTTCTAGTTTTATAAACTATTTTTTTTTTTCTATTGTTGTTACAGTTCAATTGAAACTATGGACGATGTGCTACATTGACGAATTGGGCCCCCGAAAATATATTTTTTTTTAACATAGTTTCTACCACGAGGAAATGTTATTTATAGAAAACATTCTTGCACGGTTATATTTATTCATTTTTTCCTATAAGAAAGGGTACATTAAAAGTCCTATTATCTGTTGAATAACAGGGGATTTACTGCATCTTTTCGGATGCAAGCATTTTTATTTTTTAAACTTTTTTTTTTCCTGTAGTCACCCGAATTGATACTTTATTAATGATAAAAATCGCGATTTTTTCGAGCTAAACATAGCAGTTCCGGAAATACTCGCTTCCGTCGATTTGGGTCAAGCCGACTGCCTGTTTATGGACCCATAATAATGTCCCATATAAGCAAGCGGCGGATGCAAATATCGCAGGTGATCGGTTAGAGTGCAAAAGTTTCAAAAATCGATAGAAGTATGATCAATGAACGTGCTGCAAATAATCCTCTTTCCTCGTACGAGTTCCTTGGTTGGGGATTAGTAGGACCTTCGGAACCTGTTCGTCTCTCTCTGACGTCATCTTGACTGAGGTTTGATTTGCTTGTCACGTGACCGTGCATTGCACAGTTCGGTGCTGACTTAGCCTATTTTCCGAGTGTATCTCTTGTAAAAAAATAATAACAGACGATGATTTCACGCGAAAGATTAAATATAATTTATTAGTCTTACTTATCGATAGAATTGTTTGTTTAAATATAAATTTTTTAAATCGTTCGGAATGAGTGATCCTGATTGGAAGACGCGGAACACGTGAACCAGCGATGCGGATTGTATCCGGTTACTTAGCAACTGCGTGACGTCATCCTGGACTTTAAAGGACATGACCGGATTCTGGAAGAAGTCGTCTGCTCCCAAAAAATCTAACAAATTCTATTTTGCAAAGTTGTTGTTCTTTATTGTTGTATTATTTCAGATATGTAGAAGTTTGTTGTTATTAAGTTAAGAATTTACGCGGATTTGTAAGATAAAAAAAATGTGTGTTTTCGTACTCGGATTATTTATTAATAATAATAATAATAATTCAATTTTTAAAAAGCAACGAACTCTGGCGGAGAGAGATGGAATTTTAAAAATTTATTATTATTAATGTTAAAAAAAATGTTTTAACGCATCTATTGAATGGATTACTATAAAAAACACTTTTATTATTTTAAATACAGTATTATTAAGTATCATTTGTAACGATATAATAAAACTTATGAAACCGGTCGTGTGCATAGTAGGTGACATAGGTGTGCCTCATCACGTACACCCACACGTCTTTCGGCTATCGAAAGGTCGCCGTTAAACCGAACAAAATAGAATTTTATTCTTTAAACGTTTAATTATAATACTCTTAAAAGTTTCCCACACGAATTTTTACAATACGCAATTTTTAAAGAATTTTTTTTTTTATCTTCGTGTCAAGCGAAGTGCGTTTCGGGGGGTTTTTTTCCGTTGTTCCATCCCAGTTTTGTTTGGTACACGCTCTAAATGTTTGATGGGAGCAGCGAACTTGAAAACTTTCCGCACTAAATAGAAACAAACAGCAGCCAAACGTTAGAAAATGCTGTTAGAAAACCTGTATAGAAATCCCATTTCCTTGGTCATTGCCATCGTGGAAGAGACGAAGTGGAACAAACCAGCAATGCGCCCTTTTTCCTATACAAAATAATAAAAAAAAGGGAGGAAACGCCTCGAAAAACGGGAATATCGACAATACGGAAAGTTCCCCCGTTTCTGACGTCATGATAGGGGAAAGGGGAACCGTCTCTCCCCAAATATATACGACATGACGTCAGGAGTCAATGCCACGATCGCTTCAGCACGAGCCCGAACGTCATTTCGATCACGTGAACGGAATATTTAATTGCGCGTTAATTTTTCGGGACGTTTTTCGAAGGTATTATTCTTTTATGTTAAGTTGGGAATGGCGTGTTTGTTAGGCATTTTGTCACGAGGAAGGTGCAACAAGTTTCGAATTTCGTGAATCACGCACTTTAACGATCAACAATAGCAATAAACTTATCGTTTATTAGTTTGCCTAGGAAAGTCCATAAAAGAGACAAATGGGGTCAGAAGGCCAAAACCATTTGGTGAGGTCAGGGATTGAAAAGATCACCATGCTAAATTAAACGAAAGGTCGTCAATTAAAATTAGTTTACATTGAATTAATGTATCCTACCTATGAATGGGGTGGTTACTCTCTCAAGTACTGGATAATGAATGAAATTCTATTTTGTAAATGTCCCCTTATACATGTTACGCTATCACCGGTACGTATAATATTGCCTAAAGTTGCTGTTTTTGTATAAATATTGACACTCCGGATGACATTTCTCCCATGTCTAGATGAGCTGGATTAATTGGGTTCTATCGAGGCTATAAGAAGAATGATTAAACTTATTCTTTATATTATAACCTGGATTGGTAGTGGATCCAGAAGAACCCAAAGAGGGCTTCTGGATCCATTACTAATTATAAGTAATTGTGCGTGATTATTGTATTGTGAATGGTTTGCTAAACCACGTTTGCCGTTTCGAAAACAATGTCTGAAGTTCAAACGAGCAAATTTTAATTTAATTTCGTGTCGATCTGGGCTCCTGTAACTCCTGCGTATTTGCCCCGGCCTGGCTATAAACCAATCGAGATATGTACGAGCTCGAAATTTAATAAACACAATTGAGGATCCTGTATAGATTATAGGAATTTATAGGATTAAGATTACAGGATTATATGGATTATAGTTAAGATTATAGGATGACAAATGCTGTAAAGATTATAGGAGTCAAAATGTCTTTGTTGGGTAAAACATTTTTTAGGAGTTCTCTACCCATTGTCGGATGCAAATTTCAGAAATTCGGTCCGACGACAGAACGGAGAAGTCCCAAAAGATGTGCTATCCAATAGAGAAGTTTTGATTCCTATAATCTTCATAGAATTTTTCTCCTGATATTATGCAGAGTTGACAAACTCTAAAGCCATTTTTAAATTAACTTAATTTTAATACTAAATTATAAAATATCAAATTCATTTCAAATACACAATGAAGCTTGCTAACAGGTGTAAATTGTTTATAACAAGTGTCCTAAGTTGAAAAGACAGCTGCTCAACCACGAGTTTGAATTGCAGAGCTGTGGAAGCCTCTACCATTGTGTTTTTCGCCACTTTATTCAAGTGGAAAAATAATAATGCAAGTATGTCTTAATACTTTTTTGGCTTTTGAGTCCGTCTCAGAGTTTCATCCTATTATAAAAAAAATAAATTCAAAATATACATCAGTTATACCAGCACTTTTGATTTTACCCCCATCCCGTAGGAGTTTAACTAGAAGCTCTTGAGTAAATCTTGCTTTATATTTTGTTTCTTCTCTGGAAAAATTGCCGTGAAAACTCTCCTATTCAATCAAACCAAGTGTATATAGTTCATTATATTGCAAGAGAAAGAGTAAATGTTAATTTTAAACATGTTCCATCTCTATGGAAATGTAATGTAAACAGAAATACTTTATCAGGTTGTTATAAATACAGTCATAAAACAGAAAACTGTAAAGTAGTCAGAATTAACTACAGTATAATTATATAAAAACTATTTTGTTTACACAAGATTAATTTTCAGATTGGTTTCAACGTTAGAAAATGCTCTGTTGTGTTTGTGATATTGGTTGTTCCACTTCAATGGAATGGTATGAAGATGCTGCAGCAGTTTTTGAATGTTTGAGTAACTGTGTCAAACATTAAACAGTATTTTTTTTCTCAATTCTTTTGATTTTAATGCATGAAAAAAATGCTTGATGGGTAGTAATGTTAAGTGCATTAATTTAAATGTTAGTACTGTTTTATTTAATTAATATCAGTAATATACAGTAACATCAGGAATATGAAAATATTTTATTTTAAATCTTTGCAAATTTTTAACATATTTTGGTTTTGAGGATGTAGAATATATTTTAAGAATTTAGAATACAGTAATGCCTCTGTTTTTGTTGATAATTTGTCCGAAAACAATCGGCGAAATCCGAAACTGACAAAAACCGAGGTAATTATTCCCATATGAATCAATGTAAATCCAATAATTTGTTCTAGACACTCTGTAATGCATACCAAGAACACATTTCATAGAGAATAAATATAGTGTTTAATACTAAAAATAATAAGAAATTAATATAAAACGAATGAATGACTCGTTGGGGAATGAATCCTTCAGATTCTATGTAATCTTTGAATTTGGAAATAAATTTTTTGGCCCAGACTTGTCCGAATTTGCACCTTCACTGTGCCTAGTGACACTGTGTATGCTAGTGTGCCTCTTGAATTTTTTGAACCCATCTCTGCTGGCTTAAAAATCATTGAGTTACACTAGCCACTTGTCCCAGGCATTTTTTAATGATATCAGCATACAATAGTCTGGCCTTTTCACATATGATGGCCTCCGAAAAAGAATCGCCATATTACTGTTTTTGATTGATCCAAATTAATAATAACTGTTTGACATCTTCAATTGTTTGTGATCTCTGTTTCGTTAGCACATTCACACCTTTTGCTACATTAGCCTCCTTTATTGCTTCCTTTTTTTGCCACAATGGAATTTACCGTGGATGGTGACTTCCCGTAAATGTGGCCAATTTCAGCAAGCTTAATGCTGCTCTCGTATTTTTCAATGATTTCCTTCTTTAACCCGATCGTGTTCCTGGCCTTCTTCAAAGGGCTGTTGGCTCTGGAAACTTTCTTTGGTCCCATGATAGAGCTAAAAGGAAAGGAAAGAACTGGAATTGCTTGGCTAGATACGCAGGGTAATGCTCACATGAGAAACAATGCCACACTGAGCAGGATAACGCCTGGGTTGCCTTTTGTTTTCTCAAAATTAGTAGCGAGGTCATGTGGGCACGTCGATGAAACCCGAGGCAACCGACGATAACAGAGGTATTACTGTACTTTTGATAAAAATATTCTAGACTCTTAAAAGATATTGTTTAAAATTTACAAAAGCTCTACAAAAATGAAAATTAGCAACAAATAAAAAGAATCGCTTTATGAATGTTCTAAGCATTATTTAATGCGGAATTGTATACAAACGTACACATGACTACACCCGTGCTACTTTTGTATTAGTTTTGAACTGCACGTGAAAGTCCGTTCGATGGAATTTAGACCGTTTGTCGTAATTATTTATGTCGGATGGCTAACCACCCAAAACAAATCTAATTCAGAATGTTTGTAACTGTACGTACAAAGATAAAATGCCTATTGTCTATTTAAAATATCCTTTTTCCTGGAAAAGAATCTTTTAATGTTTAATCTAGAAAATATTTATATTGCATTAATAATACAAGTTGAAATCTAGTATTGCTAGATTTTTTTTCAGTATGTGGTTTCATATTTATGTAGCGATATCAAAATATACAGGTATATTAATTGTATGTCCAATATAGTTTTGGAATTAACTAAATATTTTGAACTGATAAGTGATATTTTCAAAGTAATAAGATTTATATTTTGTGTTGAAATATAAAAGCCATACATAAATAAAATATGTATATTCAAGCCTCAATGTGGTAGAGCATTCTTCTAAATAATGCCACTCTTGTAAAGCATCAGTGCATACTTGTGCTCCCTTGCATTTAAAATGATCCATTCACTTGTGAATAGATCATCTTAAATAAAGAACCTCCTCATTATCTGCGAATTACTATATACTGTGTGTGATTTTGCATTGTAAATGGAATTATAATCAGTGTAGACCTCATTATTACATATAATTCTTATTGTTTGAGGCATTTCAGTTTAGCACCACGCTCAATTTAGTGCCAGTTTTGGAAGTGAGCAAACGATGGTGCTAAATCGAATAGTTAATTTTAATTAAATAAATTTAATTTTTAATAAATTCTCTTCTGATTACTTGAAGCGATACAATATTTGTATTCATTTCTAATTGTTTACCTAAGTAATTTTTTAAGTTGTGAAATGTTCATTGATCCACATAATAAATAGAAGAAATATAAATAAGTTTTCTTTATTGGAAAGGTTTTTGTAATCAGAAGATAAATTATTTTGGTTTTGTTTGTCTTTAGGGGTAATAAATGACTAATTAAATTTATGCTTTTGCAAGCAATTTTTATTATAAAAAAAAAAAGTTTGTAAGCGATTTTATGGAATGATCATACAAATTTTTAATAAATGTCGCTAAGTATTTTTTTTAAAATTTTACTGCTGAGAAATTATTAAGGAATATTAGAACAGTTTAGTAGTATCATCATTCTTATTTCTAAGATGAAGAATTAATGATTTAATATTTAAAAAATTAATGAAAGAAATTTCTTTGACTCATTAACTATTCATTACATTCACCTGTGTAATACTTGTTAAAATTGCTATTTTATAATTCAGAATTTGTGGATTTTCCAAGACCTCTGAACGTTATTTTTATGTCGTGTCATTATTTTAATAATGTCTTTGCTGATTTATTTCTCGATAACTATATTAAACCTTTTGAACTTCTCTCATTGTCTCCGTTGCCGTTTTGAATTCGATTTATTTCGTCCGTAGTATTGATATTTCGTATTATTAAAATTGCAACGGGTATAGATTGCATTTAAATGACTGTTCTTTTCCCGTTTGATTCCTTTGTACTATAATAGAATGTCTGACAAGAAACAAAATGTCGAATAAAACCTTAAGCTTTTGCAGTAAACATCGTTAACATAAATTATTATCTATGGTAAATTAATTTTACACATACAGAAGTAATTTTAATAACGCTATATTTGTTTCTCTGCAGAAAAATAAGACTGTCATAAAATAATAATAGTTTTTTTCCCCTGTTGTAGTAGTGTTTTAAAGGAAAAATGGCAGGTAAATTAAAATGGAAACTTGTTAATTAGAAATTTCAACGAGAAGAAACTATTTTATTTTTTAATTTGGAATAAAATGGTTCCTTACGGTATGACTGCAGCGATGATGAATCGCAGCTTGTTTTGCAAATTAATATTACATAGTACATTGGAGAAAAGTAATTAAAATAAAAACAACATTTTAATTGAGAATAATAGGAAATTGTGTAATTTTTTTTTTAAAAATAAATGTTATTTTTATATCTTACTAAAACAAGCAGTAGTGTGCATTAGTTTTTTTTAAGTTCTCATTGTTTTGGATTATTGAGTAATATACTACTCTTAGTGTCAGATTAATATACCGCGAGGGAGGGAAAAAACTGTCGAGATAACTGGGACTAAATTAGAAGCTTAAAAACCTTTCCTAAAGGCATAAAATGTTTCCTCAAATTAAAAGGAAACATTTAATTATTTTAGAAATAGTTTTTATTTATTATACAATTTTGCCTTAAACAAATTTTTATTCTTAAGTAGTTCATAAAAAAATTTTTTTGAAAGCATTTATACAGACTGAAAATAATTTAAATTTGGTAACTTCCAATTAATTTACTATTAATTGTGCTTCAAATCTAATTGTTATAGATGGAAAAATCCATAGAAATTAATTTAATTTCTAGATCTGTGTAAATATTTCTGCATAAAATGGGCCTAAGAAGCAGGTTATGTATGAAGTATATTCTCAAAATGTTTATACTCATTTTTTTATAATCCTAAAATATTTTCTGTGTAATTTATATATTAATGTTTAACAGAAACACTTAACAATGCCTTTAAATTAATGTTACAAAAACATTTATTCATTTTTTTTTTTAATTTTTCATCAAACGAAGCTTCTGGTTTAATCATGGCATTACAAGAGAATTTGGAAGAAAATATTAAGCAATATGTTTTTCTTAATAAGAATAATTAGATGTTTTTTAGCTTATTAAATTTGACGTACAATAAAAACACTTCTCTACAAAGGCGTGTTACATAAATAATGATGCAATACTTTTCTAGCTTAATTAAAAAGAAAAAAAATTTAAATAGTTAAGATAAAATTTATCTATGCGATAATCTTTGTTAAGTTTTATCTAACGTATGATCGAGAATTAATTACGATAGTAATTTTGTGCAATTTTTGCAACCCGTGACATACAGATAATGGGGAAAAATTCTTAAAGCGTGACTCACTGGCCTGCAGTAATATCCTAAATTGTAATTTAAAGATAACAAAAATAAGATGACTCAGATATTGACGCAAGGCTGTTTTTCTTCATATTTTTTTCCCCTAAATTTATCAATTGTTACCGATAGTATTGATCTCATTATGCCCTTAATAATGGCTTAAATAGGTTAGTTTGTGTGTTATTAAATTTCACTGTGCCATTTATAATAAGAATTATTATAAACAAACCTTAAAAGTTCATTTTATTATGATTTTACTGAAAATTTGAATATGTTTAAATTAATAACATCCCTTTTTATTAATTAGAAGGATGATACTGCAAAATTATCACAGTTCTATTGGGCCGACGAAGAACTGAACATGGTAGCTGCGGAATTGGACAGCTTCGACGGCAGAACGGACCCCGATCTGTGTTCTCAACTCGTCGTCCAACTGAGACAGTGTCAGGATAAGGTACGTTTTACTATAATCTTGGTAAGACTTTACCTTTTAATGTATAAATATAATTAGAGAAGGCAGTTTTACGTCCCCAAAGTTTATTAGCTTATCCAAAATGTTATGGCAGCCTTCCAGATTTAGGTCTAGGACGGGAACAAGGTCTTTCTAGAAATAGTAACTGATGGCTAATTCAGTATCACACAATGGATATCTAATGAATGGGTGGGTAAACTGAATAACCAGAGAGAATTTATTATTGAAATTTAGAATTGAAAGAAATTTAGATTTTGATAAATAAGTAAATAGAAAATATGAGATTATATAATTAAATGCGCAATAAAAAAGCACAGGGTGTGTAGATAATTTAATCATTAATTAAAATTTAATTTAACAGTGAAAAATTAATTGTTTGCAAGAAGAAAGAAGGTAATTAACACATGATAAATGTGTTTATTTCTCATTAATATGACATGTAAGTAGAATCCAGAACAACGTACTAAGGAGGACAAGGGTATGTGTATGTATCACTCGTTCTGGCAAAAGATGTTTCAAGGTAGTTCATTTTGAAAAAAACCTCTTTGTACGATGCTGCCATTTTACACGACCTAATAAGTTGTTTACGATACTGTATTTGGAGGTTATTGGTACAGATTTTTTTTCTGTACTGGGGAGTATTGTTTTAATGTATAATCTCTTAATTCAGGTGATTGGAATTTGTAACGAGATAATAGAGGAGGCCATTCCCAGTCAGAGGGCCAACAGAGACTTCAGGGTCAAGTTTCCCGACGACGTGCTACACGAAAATTTTGCGGGTCAACTTTGGTTCGGTGCCGAGGTGAGTGTAATTTAAAAGCTCGTCGCGAAACAATTTGTTTATTATATTACTAAATACATATGATTTTATTAACAGTGTCTAGCAGCTGGATCTAACATTATGAATAGAGAATTAGAAAGTGCTAGAATGAGGCCACTTGCAAAAGCAGTTACAAAATCACTAGATAATGTTCGTTGCCTCTTAAGGGAACAGTCTTTGAAAAATTCACAAGGATATTCTGATAAAGTGATTATTAATAGATCAAAAATTATGTTACCTTTTAATTATTTTACATTATCTTGAAATTTATTATTTTCTTTAAAGGTCAAAGGTGCTCTAAAAATATTTGATAGGCTTTTTGCTGAATTTGAATTATGGTAATTGAAAGATTTTTGTGACGCTTTTAAATTAAATTAAATAAATAAATTTTCAACTTTCTAAATAATTATATTTTTTTCTAGTTATGTAAGTGCTATGGTTCCTGTAAAGTCGGCAAAAGAATATCATTTACAACAAGAAATTGTAATTCTGTTTTCGGAGACATTACAGAGGTATTTAGATTTTAAAAAGTAAAATTGGTTTGAAAATCCATCAAGTACTAAATGAAACAGAAATATTTTAATTTCTGGCAATTATTACCGAAAAAAAAAAATGTTTTTGACAGATTAAAGTTACTATCTTTGTGTTTTAATACTACAATCTAGAACAGGACTTCTTAACTGTGGTTCATGACCCAAAATGGGATCATGTAATTAAAGGTAGGGGTTGTGAAAAATTTGACAATGGTAAAATTTTGTTCTATGTGTTTAGACATTAACAATTATAAAATAAAGAATGACAAATTTTCTTTATTTTATAGTCATCGGTAACAATAATGAAAACTTTTGAAAGTTATGTATTTATATTTAATACTGAAATTTCTCACGATATAGTGAAATTTTTTCATTTGAATTAATTAGAATGGCAGGTATTTCAGATTAATTAAAATGTGAGTTGACTCAGAAAAAAATTGAAGGTACCCCATGATGTCCGTAGTATCAAATATTCAGCCAGATTTATTTATGACACTGTGGCCATAAGTCTGTTTCATGTGTCTAAACAAAATACAAATACATCATAACAAACATACAAGGAAAAAATAAATAAATAAAAACATCAACATAATTCAAGCTTTTGATAGAATCTTTAAATTGTTCATATTCTTTTAGAGCATTCCAATTATATGTCGTTTGGTAAATCAGTGTGGTTTGGCCAAAACAGTGTTTGGACGTTGGCAGTAGCAGGTTATTTTTCCATCTGTAGTATATTTTTAGTCGGTTATTAATTAAACTTTGCAAGAAAGTTACTCTGTTTTATTAATTTAAATCTAGAACATGTGTTTTTATATATGTACTTTGTTGATGTTATCCTGGTTGTAATATAAAGTGACAGTAGAATTATAAGTTAGTTTATTTAATGCTCTGATAAGATTGTTCTGAACCGGCTTCAAGTCACACAAAACAAAGTCAGAAGCTGTACCCCATATGGAAATGCTGTATCTTAATTTAAGTTCCATACATATATGATATATAGTGTAATACTGTCTCAGTTTAGGTGTATCATTAGTTTTTAAAGTATTTCAATCAAGAATATTTATATGATTGTACCTTCGGAGATTGTCATCTATTTTGATATCTAGATATTTTACGCCATTCACCCTTTGGATATTTGTTATTAATTCTTACTTGTATTTGGTCTAAATTTACTAGATTATTTCTATTTATCAGGCAGATATATTTTGTTTTGTTCTCGTTCATACTCAAGTTATGGTTTTCCATATAGATACTCAAAAAATTTATTAATTAGAAATGATAGTGGTGGTATAATAATGATTTAATCCTTTTTGTAAAAATAAGATGCATATCAAACAACTGTTTTGGAATACATTGTTGTATGATTTATTGCTGAAAAGGATACATATAGCATATGTATCTTTGACATATATGGCAAATGGATGTTTACACATGTGGATTTGTATACCCATATACTAGGAGAGGCATTAAATTTTCTTGGTAAAAGTGGGCTGCAAATATAAAAAGTTTTTAAGACCTGTTCTAGAATATTACACCTCATAAGTTGGTTTTAAAAAATTTTAATTTGTGAATAAAATGAATAATAAACTTAAAAATTTTCTTTAATAATTGGTTGGTTTGTATATATATATAATGTATGTATGTATATTTTAAATGTTAGTATTTATATTAATAAATATGAAAATTCTGTACAATTTACACAAACTAAAATGCTTAATTAAGACAACCAATTGCGTATTTATTTGTTGAGGAATGTTTTGGATTCCATGCAGCCGTCTTTGGCTTTCTATAACAAAGATTTATTGTTTATATTACACACCATTGCTTATATGATATTATACAAAGCTACAGATGGCTGCATAGAGAAGAATAAATATTGACTCAGTTATCTTAATTATGCAGCGCTATTTAAATAAATTATACATACACACTCCACTGTATTGATATAATGCTGAAAGCACTAACAACTTTAATGTCCAGTAATGATTACAAAAAATATTAAAGTTGTTCAATTTTATTATAGTAAACTTTTATAATTTAAAAAAAAAGATTTTGTATATTTATAATTATATTAAAATTGTGTTTGCATATTATAGAGCCTTGCGAATAGGGTTAGTGACTCAAGATATGGTAGATGACTACGATCCATCATTAATGTTTACTATACCAAGACTCGCTATTGTCTGGTAAGATATTCTTAAATGTACTTTTTATGTTTTTGTAATTTGCTTATAATGGGCTTTTTTTTTCCCTCCATGTAAAGGGGACTTTTATTATACCCCGAAGGTACATTAAACGTTGACTGTGATCCAGCCGATATGTCAGAACTTTTTAGGCCTTTTTACAGCCTTCTTTATAAAATAAGGTACATTTTTCTATTAGATTATGTGCATTAAAAATTACAGTAGAGCGTCAATTATCCGAAAGAATTCCAGTCGGCAAATTTAAATTTTCGCCAGTGCTGTGATGCTGCAATCTTTGGCTATGTCTTGGGCTACTCAATATTTTATGTTTTTGATACTAAATTAACTTCTGAAGTATAATTTTNCCGTGGCTTCCCGATAACCTGTCCGCACACTGTATGGCTTGCAAAGCTCCTTTCACCATCATACGTCGTCGCCATCACTGCAGAAACTGCGGAAAAGTAAGCATTTTATAAAATTTTCACATTTAGGTATTTATTCTTATTTTTAAGTGCATGACAAATTAAAAATTTTTGTTAGCGTCTCAAGTATATCACGGAATTGGATTTCATCAATATTTTGTATATTTATTCATTTCAGATATTTTGCTCCCGGTGTAGCTCGAATTCTGTCCCGTTACCTCGCTACGGACATAACAAACCCGTGAGAGTGTGCAATCAGTGCTTTTCTTATCAGCTAGCTTGTCTCGTGGTTAGTTCGCAGTACTGACGACGCATGTTCCTAGATACATTTGCTAATTTTCAAGTTTTATGGGTTCTTTACAAAATTTATCACGTATTACTGGTAGTACATCCCAAATTGTGAGCGTATCCCCGGATGCGCATGTCAAAAATGACCGTCAACATTGTGATAGTAGTGAATGTATGTGTACGTACGTCTTCCTCCACCTAATTTTAGGAATAATTGCTCAAGTGATTTGGCAATTAGTTGTTTAATTCTCCAGGCTTTACAAAAGACATCGTAAACCTTGTCCGAACAAAAAAAAAATACAAGATCGGGACGTTTAACTTCCAAGATTTAAATGTGTAATTAGTAGCAAGTGTAGATTGTATAAATTTTCATTTCAATACTTGTGCTTTTGCATAATTTATATATATACATAATATACATATTATTTGCTAATAATTTCCTTTGTTTTCTTGGAAAATGTTGGTGAGTGTACATAATGGATCAGGAATATATATATAATTATGTTAAAAATTATAAAAATGTTATAAACAAGGTATATAAGAACATTCAATTTCTGTGATAAATAAATTTTTGTGAAAACTTCAGCTACTGCATTTGTTTCTATAGAAACTAATCCTTGTGTGGAAAACTTAGGAGTGTTGCATTGCATTAACTTGTAGACTAGAAATTAACCTTATTGTATATTTGATTACGAGGGTTGTTTGAATAGTAGTGAGCCTACCTGTGAAGTGTTATCAAAGTGCAACTCTCGGGCAGTGGAGAAAGGCAATTATGCAATCCTTACGTCATTTTTTCACTTGTCCTAGTCTCATAACGTCTATTGTCACTATCTGAAAAGCTGAAAAAGTGCATCATACTTCAGAGGAACTACATAGTGTTTAAGTGCAACTTCACAGGTTTGCTCAGTATTTTTCAAATAAACCCTCATAAGCATTATCAAAATGCAAACGAGTTGCCGTAGATTAAAAATCGACTGTTAGTTTTTTTTTAAATAACTCGCATGTGGTACGTGGTTTCTGAAATCTTTATTTACTTTTCTAAGTCACATGCTATACATCAAATATTAAGAATAAAATTGTGGAATTTTTTTTTTATAATACAGATGAAGATTTAAGTCGTAGCATTCTTCTTATTTGTAGTGAATATATAAATGACTGTAAAATTCAATGTTTAGATGCCACAATATGTGGTACTATATACATTTTAAACAAATGGTAGTTTATGAAGCATGTAGATACATACATATGTTGAAATGTTTCAGACAAATCATAAGACAGTCCATACAATTAATAACAATAACAAAAGCAACAAAAACATGGAAAAACTTTGAATGTAAAATTCACGTTCTTAGTTACATTCTTAGTAATAATTTACTTTAGAACTCAAACGTTGAGCGACACATGTTAACGGCAGTAAAATAATTTAAACATCGGAAATCGTAATTGTACAAGTCGATCGCTGCCGTACGTTTTTGTAGGTCTTAAATTTGTACTCTTGATAATTTTACAAATTTCTTCCTAAAATCTTGCAGATTATTCACAAAAGTGAGAATAATAATAATATTGTTACATGTCTATTACTAAAAGAGGAGAGGAAATCACACAGAATATATCTCAAAATTCTATTTAAAAATATATCTGTTCTCTAAAAATTGCATATGTTAATAACTATACAAGGCTACGGCGATTTAATTTATAATAACTAATCAGTAACGCTAATATATTTCGCACAATCCGTACAAGTAAACGAGAGACATTTTAACACAGTGTCAGGAAACAAAAAGCAATGGTCAAGAGGCAGCTGCTTGAAGTATGTTTTTTTAGCAAAATGGATTCTCAATCACTTGGCAATTTATATATAACTTTTATACGACTAGATCTAGCAAAATGAAATACAATACAGAACATTCTAATCTACAAAGAACTTTAATTTGCAAAATAAAGATTGCTATCCATCATACACCATTTTTCTTAGATATTCTATTCTATTCGTTGGCTCTCAAATCCAAAAAGTTATAGTCTGTGTTAGATATTAATGTGCATTTGCGATGACGTTAACTTTAACGAGCGATTTAAAATATCAACTTGCAATTTAATTTAACTACTATCTTATCTATATTAATTATTGATTTCTCTTCGGCCAAAAGAGAGAGAAATCCTAACTTTAGTAATTTGTTCATCTTTACAAGAGAAATTAGAAACTCCCGACTGATGCACTGCGAGATGAGTAAAAAAAAAAATAGTGACATAAAGATACAAATTTTTACAAAAATTACTCCTACTTTTCGGAAGTTTGTGCCAGTAAACTATCAAAGAAAGAAGAGATCCACCGTCACCTTCCGTTTTGGTAATATTCGATAATAAGTTGTGCCACAGCTCCGAAAGAAGGTTGGAAACCGCTATTAATTTTACGTCGGAAAATTCAAAGGAAGAAAAATATCTTAGAAGGCATCTCCCGCCCTCTTCCGTTATTTTTTTTAACAGTTTCTGTAATTCTTAAAAGCTTATTATAATATAAAGAATAACAGATTGATATAATTTTATTTTCCTTTTTATATATTTTTAAAATGTATAAAAATGTGACATGTTTAAATTTTAAAGAACAACAATTTTTTCAGCTTGTTTTAAAATTTGTATAGATGTTATGTAAATGGAAACAATGTTTCTTCAAAAATAAGTGTAAAATATGGAGGAGTGGTGTTTTTTAATTAGACGGTGGAATTTTTGGCACACGGCTAGCAACAATAAAGCACGTATCATATACGTTACCACAGACGATGCAAGAGAGGAAAGGCTCAAGCGAGACTCTCGGGAGGCAGTTCTAAAATATCTTAGAAAAGCAACATAAGAATGATGGAATTTTTAAGTTTCAATATGACAAACGTTAAAATTATAGTGTTTGTATTATCCACAGAAGTGATGTAGACGATACATGAAAGGTCTTTGTTGTTTAAAGAAAAATAGTGAACTATAATTATATCATCAAATACTATTCCTGATAAAATGTTGCACTCACCCGTCATTTTAATTCCAATGCAGTACGTCCGGGAAAGTAAACCATACAAATTTGAAACACCTCGACTTGTGGGAATTTTCAATGTGCAATTTCAAATTGCACGACCGGCTGCAAGACAGAATTTCCTACTACGTCGGAATTTTATCTAAAATGATGGACAACTGCATTGTTGGGTATAGAACTTTTATCTATTCTTCAACTGTTATGCATTCAAACAAAGAATAAAAATGTCGGATTTCATTTCCTGAGTCAAATAAAAGATTTCCCATTTGGTATTTTTCATTGTTCCTACCTTAATGTTTTATGCCGGTCATTTGTTACTTTTTTCCATCAAATGCTAATCTAGTTCTACGTAACGTACACACCGTACATTGAAATTATAATGAAATTCTATAATAGCTTTTATAAATTAGTCCAAAAATGTCATTTAATCCGCAGTTTTCTAAACTTGTAAAAAATAAGCAAAATGTATCAATTATTGTCTACGTGCAACACAGACGAATTTTATATCCAAACAACAAGAAAGAAAATTCAGTGCTTTGTTTTTCTTTCTTTTCTCTTTGTTCTAAGGGAAATTTTAAATTGTTTAAATAGTCTTAATTATTGTTAAGGCTATCTTTTTCTAATATAAACACTGAAATCGTATAGTTGAGATTATGGGATAATCTCAACTATATGATTTTAGTGTTTATATTAATTATTACAAAGGAAACCACCCCTCATAGTTACCAATAACAATTATTAAGGTAACCTTAACATTTGATGACTGAGTTTTATTATTTAAGATTTCTTCTAGTTATGTATATACTACAGTAAAAATACTCCTCCACATTTTACACCCAAATAATTATTTTTGTTTTGATGTTATTTTTGGAACACTTTGTATGGTTTACAGAACTTGCTACACTACTAAACACAAAATCCCAAATGTAGGATGCTATTTTGAGGCAGCAAATTGCATTCTTCTTTTACCATAACAATCTGTGACGACAGTGATTACGATAAATAATTGTTTATAAAAGGAAAATACGTTATGCAGACAGTAAAATTTGCATTATGCTCTCATTTTAAAATCAATATAAAAGAAATCTAAAAAGAAATATTCTTTCGGTAGCAAATAAATTCATTAAATTTGCTTTAAAATTTTGTACAAATGCAATATATTATTCAAATATTTATATATATAGCAATAATTACTTTCTAACTAGAATATATATTTGTATACGATTATATATATATATATATTTTTTACTGCTCTAGTATTATTATTATATTCCAGATATAGAAATTGAATTGGGCAGGAATTATTTTCTGACAATAAGTTATACAGATTTGCATATTGAAGTTTACTGGATGGTGTGGCGTAAGTTACAGGCGTTTGAAAGTTTTAAAAGTATACCCGTAGCTAAATTTAAAATTTTGTTACTGTTGCCGAAATGTGAACTTAATGACAAAATTTAAAACAAGGCACCTACTTAGTTTCTAAAAATATATCAAATGTACACATGTAATGCCTGCGTAAATAAATACGAAATAACCTTTTTCCAATTTGGAATACATAAAAAGTATTGCCCAGTGTCAGTGAATTCCGGTGTGGTAATTTAAGACTTGTTTAGTCGTACTCAATTGTGTTACTGTGTATTTTGAGTGTACTGAGTTGTTTTTTTTTTCTTTATGATTTTAAAATCAACTAGGAAACTAGAAAAGCTCCTTTTGTTAATACCGATATAAATGACGATAAATATGCATTTTAGTCGTTTAAATTATAATGACCTCTGACCTGAAGTTTCCGAAGTCAGCTAGAAATTAACATATTTGGCTTATACATACTTTCGACGTAGTCACGAAATTATATGTTCTGTCGGATTGCATTTTGACCTCGCGGTGTTGCAACGTCTCTGTCGTTCTCGATTTCGTCTTCATCCTCCTCCTCTTCTTGGATCGTTGTTACTTTTGTGCTGTTAACGACTTCTTCGTAACTTGGTGGAAAGTCCTAATAAAAAAATAAAATAAGTTCTTTAGTCTACGTTGTCACCGTAAATGAAATTTATGGATTTAAGACCTAAAATGCAATAAGTATAAAAATGTGACATGTTTAAATTTTAAAGAACAACAATTTTTTCAGCTTGTTTTAAAATTTGTATAGATGTTATGTAAATGGAAACAATGTTTCTTCAAAAATAAGTGTAAAATATGGAGGAGTGGTGTTTTTTAATTAGACGGTGGAATTTTTGGCACACGGCTAGCAACAATAAAGCATGTATCATATACGTTACCACAGACGATGCAAGAGAGGAAAGGCTCAAGCGAGACTCTCGGGAGGCAGTTCTAAAATATCTTAGAAAAGCAACATAAGAATGATGGAATTTTTAAGTTTCAATATGACAAACGGAAAAATTATAGTGTTTGTATTATCCACAGAAGTGATGTAGACGATACATGAAAGGATATGCCAGTCTTTGTTGTTTATAGAAAAATAGTGAACTACAATTATATCAAGTACTATTTCCGACAAAATGTTGCACTCACCCGTCATTTTAATTCCAATGCAGTACGTCCGGGAAAGTAAACCATACAAATTTGAAACACCTCGACTTGTGGGAATTTTCAATGTGCAATTTCAAATTGCAGGACCGGCTGCAAGACAGAATTTCCTACTACGTCGGAATTTTATCTAAAATGATGGACAACTGCATTGTTGGGTATGGAACTACATAGTGTTTAAGTGCAACTTGACAGGTTTGCTCAGTATTTTTCAAATAAACCCTCGTAAGCATTATCAAAATGCAAACGAGTTGCCGTAGATTAAAAATCGACTGTTAGTTTTTTTTTTTGAAATAACTCTCATGTGGTACGTGGTTTCTGNATACAAATTTGAAACACCTCGACTTGTGGGAATTTTCAATGTGCAATTTCAAATTGCATGACCGACTGCAAGACAGAATTTCCTACTACGTCGGAATTTTATTTAAAATGATGGACAACTGCATTGTTGGGTATAGAACTTTTATCTATTCTTCAACCGTTATGCATTCAAACAAAGAATAAAAATGTCGGATTTCATTTCCTGAGTCAAATAAAAGATTTCCCATTTGGTATTTTTCATTGTTCCTACCTTAATGTTTTATGCCGGTCATTTGTTACTTTTTTCCATCAAATGCTAATCTAGTTCTACGTAACGTACACACCGTACATTGAAATTATAATGAAATTCTATAATAGCTTTTATAAATTAGTCCAAAAATGTCATTTAATCCGCAGTTTTCTAAACTTGTAAAAAATAAGCAAAATGTATCAATTATTGTCTACGTGCAACACAGACGAATTTTATATCCAAACAACAGGAAAGAAAATTCAGTGCTTTGTTTTTTTCTTTCTTTTCTCTTTGTTCTAAGGGAAATTTTAAATTGTTTAAATAGTCTTAATTATTGTTAAGGCTACCTTTTTCTAATATAAACACTGAAATCGTATAGTTGAGATTATGGGATAATCTCAACCGTATGATTTTAGTGTTTATATTAATTATTACAAAGGAAACCACCCCTCATAGTTACCAATAACAATTATTAAGGTAACCTTAACATTTGATGACCGAGTTTTGTTATTTAAGATTTCTTCTAGTTATGTATATACTACGGTAAAAATACTCCTCCACATTTTACACCCAAATAATTATTTTTGTTTTGATGTTATTTTTGGAACACTTTGTATGGTTTACGGAACTTGCTACACTACTAAACACAAAATCCCAAATGTAGGATGCTATTTTGAGGCAGCAAATTGCATTCTTTTTTTACCATAACAATCTGTGACGACAGTGATTACGNAATTAACTTCTGAAGTATAATTTTTTATTGTTTTTATATTTTTCAATATATTTATTTTGTTTGTACAAAATAAAGAAATAATTTTTAACGATACAATAGTCACGATTATTATTTTAAAAAGTTGACATTAGGCTTAACATCGACGAAAATTCAACGCGAAGCGACACGCAACGGAGAAAAATTTCAACATGGGATAGGTTAATATATTTTTTCGTACATAATCGGTTATCCGAAATATTGATTTCCCGAACAACCCCAGTCCCCAATTGATTCGGATAATCGATGTTCTACTGTATTCTTGTCTACTTATATACATGAAATTTAAATATTTCAGAGATTTGTTATGGACTTTATCACAAGTAGAATTACATTTGCTAGAAAAGATGTTGTGTAGTTTAGAGGATCCGAGGACTGTTCTGGTGTCGGAGCGCTTGTCAACTAAAGATAATCAACCCTCCTTAGATTCTGAAGATTATATAAATTTATTTTATCAAAATCACCGCAGTTGTAAACAGTTTATTCAGGACTTCTATGCATACAATTTTGGAGTTGCTCCAGAAAATGAAATATCAAGTGGTGATGATGCTTTAAAAAGCAATGAAGCTTGGAATGAAGATTACAATCAGTTAGAAGCTAATAAAAGCGAAGAGGAAGTGGAAGTTGTGCCAGAAAATAGTATTGTATCCAGCGAACATATTACATCGCAGTCCGTCGAATTCGTATCCAGAAGTAAAGAATTTGAATCGTCGGTCGGTTTAGATATTAGTGAATGTTGTGTTCAGAAAAACTTATCTCAAGTGGATAAAGTTAGTGATGTGCCTTTAGAAGGTGAATTTTTATCAGCACTTGAACAAAGTGACGATGTAGTGAACACTGCAAGTGATTACACAGTCCAAATTTCACAATGGACAAATTGTGATAATGATAGTACTAATGTGACTTCTGATACAGTTCAAAGTTTTGAAAGTGAAACTGAATTGGTAGATGCGTTAGCCACTTCCTTAGCTCACAATCAGATAATGTGCCTTGAGGATAACGAAAATAACGTGGGCGAATGGTCCGAAGAATGTCTGTGCGATTCGGACGTAGCGTCTTGTTCTGCCGAAGAGATTGCTCTTTCTAGGACTCTGTTATCTCAAGTAATGCAAAGATTAGAAATCGTACCGCCGCCAAGTTACGGTTCTTCACCAGAACAAGGAACGCAACCTTTAGAAATCAGACTGCTTAGTAGATCCTTCCCAGTGACTTCAATCTTCCAGAAGCCCTCGTTGCACGACCACAGTCCGCAAATCCCTCCTCGTTGGAGAAGGAGGAGGAATGCCATCAGATACAAAAATAGAAAAAGAAATACATCAAATAGTAGTTGTGATAGTAATGTAGCATGCAATGAAAGAAATTCCTCTAGACAGTTGTCACAAATGTGCACGTGTCAAAAACCAGTGTATAATAGACAGCTTAGAAAATTAGTAGAGGATGAAAGTAAACCATTCAATATTCCCAAAGTTAACAGGTTACAAGATTACAGAGAACACTCATGCTATTGTTCTAGTTGTCCCAGTATGTCAAGTGCCTCAAGTTCTGATTGGGATTGTAGCAGGTGAAAATTTTTCTTAATAATTTTGCATAATTGAAACAGAGATCTCATTTTCCAATTCCTTTTCAGTCCCGATACGAGCTCCTATAATTCAGAGTGCCAAGACGACGAAGAGATTGCACTTGCTCTTCAAGCGGCCGAGATAGCTTCTCGTAACGAAGCCAGAGCAAAATTTAAAAGTAGTGATGATCTTTTACATAGGCTATTTGTTTGTATTTCAGGTAAAGATTTTTTCCTGTTTTTACATATTTTACACAGTTAAGTTTCTTCATTCCATACTTCTGTTGACATCAATTTATTTGTTATTTATTGCACAGTAAAGTAAGTTTACTGTGCAATACCGTATGCATCATCATCTGTGGTAGAAGTTGGAAACACCAGATTAGGGGCTCACATCTTTTCACATGCAATTGTCCTGTGTGTCATTCAAACCATTGGAAATGCAACACTTCTCAAGAATGCCATGTGACTTTTTCTGCAATTTTTTTTATCCAAGTAGTTATAAGCTGATCTCTTAAATATTTACTGTTACGAATATTAGTCTAATAAAATCATTAAACCAACACAACGGAATTAGTAACAGAAACATTAAGATACAATTAGCAACATTTAGTGTCACGCAATATAAGACATATCACATTTGAATAAATACAGTGTATATTGTTATTTTATGTAAATATTCTTAATATCCATTAAGTAATGAGCTGTAATTTTATGTCAAACATTTTAATATTTCTCATACATAACACACAACAGAATTAAATAAATTTCAAAAGTCTATGTGGTATAATTATTTTTTTCTTATAGGAGTAGCTGATCAACTTCAAACCAATTATGCAAGTGACCTAAGAAATATTCTAAAAAATGTATTTGAAATGAACTGTTCGGAATCCTGTAGTACTAAAGAAAATTTGGTTCAGAAGACTGACTGCGGCAATGACAGTTTATCGGAAGTCGGCGAATTCCATCAAAATAATAATATCGAAGAAGAAATTGGAGACATTTCAAACATTATTATAGATACGGAAGACACGGACAGGGACAGAACTTCCGTAGACAGTGCGGAAGAAATGGTTCCAGGCATTTCTATATCTTCTACAGACGTTCACTCGTCCGAAAATTTGCAGGGTATGTTATAAAGAATAAAACTTCTAATAATATATTATTTTACAAAACTGTTTTTGGATATATTGCAATATACTGAAGAGGTATTTATGAAAAAAAAAATTATAAATTATTTTGGACTTGTTTAATTATTGTTAGTTGAGGAAAGCTTATGTAGGTGGAAGTATAGGTTAAGTAAAAAAGAATTAATTATATGAAATTTAAAAATGTTCAATAGCTAAGTATCAGTTCTGTTGCCTATCAGAACCTCCTCCGTGGCTTCCCGATAACCTGTCCGCACACTGTATGGCTTGCAAAGCTCCTTTCACCATCATACGTCGTCGCCATCACTGCAGAAACTGCGGAAAAGTAAGCATTTTATAAAATTTTCACATTTAGGTATTTATTCTTATTTTTAAGTGCATGACAAATTAAAAATTTTTGTTAGCGTCTCAAGTATATCACGGAATTGGATTTCATCAATATTTTGTATATTTATTCATTTCAGATATTTTGCTCCCGGTGTAGCTCGAATTCTGTCCCGTTACCTCGCTACGGACATAACAAACCCGTGAGAGTGTGCAATCAGTGCTTTTCTTATCAGCTAGCTTGTCTCGTGGTTAGTTCGCAGTACTGACGACGCATGTTCCTAGATACATTTGCTAATTTTCAAGTTTTATGGGTTCTTTACAAAATTTATCACGTATTACTGGTAGTACATCCCAAATTGTGAGCGTATCCCCGGATGCGCGTGTCAAAAATGACCGTCAACATTGTGATAGTAGTGAATGTATGTGTACGTACGTCTTCCTCCACCTAATTTTAGGAATAATTGCTCAAGTGATTTGGCAATTAGTTGTTTAATTCTCCAGGCTTTACAAAAGACATCGTAAACCTTGTCCGAACAAAAAAAAAATACAAGATCGGGACGTTTAACTTCCAAGATTTAAATGTGTAATTAGTAGCAAGTGTAGATTGTATAAATTTTCATTTCAATACTTGTGCTTTTGCATAATTTATATATATACATAATATACATATTATTTGCTAATAATTTCCTTTGTTTTCTTGGAAAATGTTGGTGAGTGTACATAATGGATCAGGAATATATATATAATTATGTTAAAAATTATAAAAATGTTATAAACAAGGTATATAAGAACATTCAATTTCTGTGATAAATAAATTTTTGTGAAAACTTCAGCTACTGCATTTGTTTCTATAGAAACTAATCCTTGTGTGGAAAACTTAGGAGTGTTGGATTGCATTAACTTGTAGACTAGAAATTAACCTTATTGTATATTTGATTACGAGGGTTGTTTGAATAGTAGTGAGCCTACCTGTGAAGTGTTGTCAAAGTGCAACTCTCGGGCAGTGGAGAAAGGCAATTATGCAATCCTTATGTCATTTTTTCACTTGTTCCCAACACTTGTCCTAGTCTCATAACATCTATTGTCAGTATCTGAAAAGGACAATCTTTTTTTCTGCAAAGCTGAAAAAGTGCATCATACTTCAGAGGAACTACATAGTGTTTAAGTGCAACTTCACAGGTTTGCTCAGTATTTTTCAAATAAACCCTCGTAAGCATTATCAAAATGCAAACGAGTTGCCGTAGATTAAAAATCGACTGTTAGTTTTTTTTTTTGAAATAACTCTCATGTGGTACGTGGTTTCTGAAATCTTTATTTACTTTTCTAAGTCACATGCTATACATCAAATATTAAGAATAAAATTGTGGAATTTTTTTTTTATAATACAGATGAAGATTTAAGTCGTAGCATTCTTCTTATTTGTAGTGAATATATAAATGACTGTAAAATTCAATGTTTAGATGCCACAATATGTGGTACTATATACATTTTAAACAAATGGTAGTTTATGAAGCATGTAGATACATACATATGTTGAAATGTTTCAGACAAATCATAAGACAGTCCATACAATTAATAACAATAACAAAAGCAACAAAAACATGGAAAAACTTTGAATGTAAAATTCACGTTCTTAGTTACATTCTTAGTAATAATTTACTTTAGAACTCAAACGTTGAGCGACACATGTTAACGGCAGTAAAATAATTTAAACATCGGAAATCGTAATTGTACAAGTCGATCGCTGCCGTACGTTTTTGTAGGTCTTAAATTTGTACTCTTGATAATTTTACAAATTTCTTCCTAAAATCTTGCAGATTATTCACAAAAGTGAGAATAATAATAATATTGTTACATGTCTATTACTAAAAGAGGAGAGGAAATCACACAGAATATATCTCAAAATTCTATTTAAAAATATATCTGTTCTCTAAAAATTGCATATGTTAATAACTATACAAGGCTACGGCGATTTAATTTATAATAACTAATCAGTAACGCTAATATATTTCGCACAATCCGTACAAGTAAACGAGAGACATTTTAACACAGTGTCAGGAAACAAAAAGCAATGGTCAAGAGGCAGCTGCTTGAAGTATGTTTTTTTAGCAAAATGGATTCTCAATCACTTGGCAATTTATATATAACTTTTATACGACTAGATCTAGCAAAATGAAATACAATACAGAACATTCTAATCTACAAAGAACTTTAATTTGCAAAATAAAGATTGCTATCCATCATACACCATTTTTCTTAGATATTCTATTCTATTCGTTGGCTCTCAAATCCAAAAAGTTATAGTCTGTGTTAGATATTAATGTGCATTTGCGATGACGTTAACTTTAACGAGCGATTTAAAATATCAACTTGCAATTTAATTTAACTACTATCTTATCTATATTAATTATTGATTTCTCTTCGGCCAAAAGAGAGAGAAATCCTAACTTTAGTAATTTGTTCATCTTTACAAGAGAAATTAGAAACTCCCGACTGATGCACTGCGAGATGAGTAAAAAAAAAAATAGTGACATAAAGATACAAATTTTTACAAAAATTACTCCTACTTTTCGGAAGTTTGTGCCAGTAAACTATCAAAGAAAGAAGAGATCCACCGTCACCTTCCGTTTTGGTAATATTCGATAATAAGTTGTGCCACAGCTCCGAAAGAAGGTTGGAAACCGCTATTAATTTTACGTCGGAAAATTCAAAGGAAGAAAAATATCTTAGAAGGCATCTCCCGCCCTCTTCCGTTATTTTTTTTAACAGTTTCTGTAATTCTTAAAAGCTTATTATAATATAAAGAATAACAGATTGATATAATTTTATTTTCCTTTTTATATATTTTTAAAATGTATAAAAATGTGACATGTTTAAATTTTAAAGAACAACAATTTTTTCAGCTTGTTTTAAAATTTGTATAGATGTTATGTAAATGGAAACAATGTTTCTTCAAAAATAAGTGTAAAATATGGAGGAGTGGTGTTTTTTAATTAGACGGTGGAATTTTTGGCACACGGCTAGCAACAATAAAGCACGTATCATATACGTTACCACAGACGATGCAAGAGAGGAAAGGCTCAAGCGAGACTCTCGGGAGGCAGTTCTAAAATATCTTAGAAAAGCAACATAAGAATGATGGAATTTTTAAGTTTCAATATGACAAACGTTAAAATTATAGTGTTTGTATTATCCACAGAAGTGATGTAGACGATACATGAAAGGTCTTTGTTGTTTAAAGAAAAATAGTGAACTATAATTATATCATCAAATACTATTCCTGATAAAATGTTGCACTCACCCGTCATTTTAATTCCAATGCAGTACGTCCGGGAAAGTAAACCATACAAATTTGAAACACCTCGACTTGTGGGAATTTTCAATGTGCAATTTCAAATTGCACGACCGGCTGCAAGACAGAATTTCCTACTACGTCGGAATTTTATCTAAAATGATGGACAACTGCATTGTTGGGTATAGAACTTTTATCTATTCTTCAACTGTTATGCATTCAAACAAAGAATAAAAATGTCGGATTTCATTTCCTGAGTCAAATAAAAGATTTCCCATTTGGTATTTTTCATTGTTCCTACCTTAATGTTTTATGCCGGTCATTTGTTACTTTTTTCCATCAAATGCTAATCTAGTTCTACGTAACGTACACACCGTACATTGAAATTATAATGAAATTCTATAATAGCTTTTATAAATTAGTCCAAAAATGTCATTTAATCCGCAGTTTTCTAAACTTGTAAAAAATAAGCAAAATGTATCAATTATTGTCTACGTGCAACACAGACGAATTTTATATCCAAACAACAAGAAAGAAAATTCAGTGCTTTGTTTTTCTTTCTTTTCTCTTTGTTCTAAGGGAAATTTTAAATTGTTTAAATAGTCTTAATTATTGTTAAGGCTATCTTTTTCTAATATAAACACTGAAATCGTATAGTTGAGATTATGGGATAATCTCAACTATATGATTTTAGTGTTTATATTAATTATTACAAAGGAAACCACCCCTCATAGTTACCAATAACAATTATTAAGGTAACCTTAACATTTGATGACTGAGTTTTATTATTTAAGATTTCTTCTAGTTATGTATATACTACAGTAAAAATACTCCTCCACATTTTACACCCAAATAATTATTTTTGTTTTGATGTTATTTTTGGAACACTTTGTATGGTTTACAGAACTTGCTACACTACTAAACACAAAATCCCAAATGTAGGATGCTATTTTGAGGCAGCAAATTGCATTCTTCTTTTACCATAACAATCTGTGACGACAGTGATTACGATAAATAATTGTTTATAAAAGGAAAATACGTTATGCAGACAGTAAAATTTGCATTATGCTCTCATTTTAAAATCAATATAAAAGAAATCTAAAAAGAAATATTCTTTCGGTAGCAAATAAATTCATTAAATTTGCTTTAAAATTTTGTACAAATGCAATATATTATTCAAATATTTATATATATAGCAATAATTACTTTCTAACTAGAATATATATTTGTATACGATTATATATATATATATATTTTTTACTGCTCTAGTATTATTATTATATTCCAGATATAGAAATTGAATTGGGCAGGAATTATTTTCTGACAATAAGTTATACAGATTTGCATATTGAAGTTTACTGGATGGTGTGGCGTAAGTTACAGGCGTTTGAAAGTTTTAAAAGTATACCCGTAGCTAAATTTAAAATTTTGTTACTGTTGCCGAAATGTGGACTTAATGACAAAATTTAAAACAAGGCACCTACTTAGTTTCTAAAAATATATCAAATGTACACATGTAATGCCTGCGTAAATAAATACGAAATAACCTTTTTCCAATTTGGAATACATAAAAAGTATTGCCCAGTGTCAGTGAATTCCGGTGTGGTAATTTAAGACTTGTTTAGTCGTACTCAATTGTGTTACTGTGTATTTTGAGTGTACTGAGTTGTTTTTTCTTTATGATTTTAAAATCAACTAGGAAACTAGAAAAGCTCCTTTTGTTAATACCGATATAAATGACGATAAATATGCATTTTAGTCGTTTAAATTATAATGACCTCTGACCTGAAGTTTCCGAAGTCAGCTAGAAATTAACATATTTGGCTTATACATACTTTCGACGTAGTCACGAAATTATATGTTCTGTCGGGTTGCATTTTGACCTCGCGGTGTTGCAACGTCTCTGTCGTTCTCGATTTCGTCTTCATCCTCCTCCTCTTCTTGGATCGTTGTTACTTTTGTGCTGTTAACGACTTCTTCGTAACTTGGTGGAAAGTCCTAATAAAAAAATAAAATAAGTTCTTTAGTCTACGTTGTCACCGTAAATGAAATTTATGGATTTAAGACCTAAAATGCAATAACTAAGTGCATTGGTATTTTGTAATTAGCAAATGTACAGTTATTTTCTTTCATGATGTTTTTGTGTTTAGAATGATAGCATCCATCAATTTAAATAATTAAATCGGATGATGGTTGCAGCTTTAATTGCAAAAAACAGTCCTTTTCGAACAATTGTACACACTGTTTTGTTTAATTTAGAGACTTTATCAACTTAAAAATTGCATGGCATGGCATCAATACAATCAGTTTCGAAACTTTGAACTTCACTAGATAATCAATACAATGTATGTATGAATTCAAAGAATTTACCTTGAACAATCAAGTAATAACATAAAACTTAAACAGCCATTGTTTTTATTATAAGAGAAGAATAAAATTTATTCATAAATATCTATTTTATCAAATGTAGCCATACAGATATAGCTTTGTTGTCACCTAATCGTATCATCAATCAAACTGCCGCTCATCAATCATAATAA